CTGCAGCCAAGGATAGACGGCCGAGCCCCTACAAAAGCAATTAGGGTTAAGAGAACAACTGTTGCAAATAAACAAAGCATAAAAACCATCGTTCGCAACTAAAGATTCGAATTTATTGGGAAAATAGATCTATAGCATTATAAATCAGAATTTTCTCTATGAAATCTTCATTGGGTCCATCGATATGCAGAACACGGATGTAAAGTGATTTACAGCCTGACTCCTTTAGAGGTAACCTGTAACCAGATCCATTTTGCTACTAATCCATTTACAAGGTGCACCAAATATAGATTACAGTAACAGAAAGCTCTTCCTCCAGAAATCCTCGACAAAAATCAAATTTTCATCCTCATTTATCCTAATGCAAAACAAAGTCACCCTGAAGAATCTAGAGACTTTGATATATCACTATCAGAGCGCAACTACGATTCCTGGTTACCAGGCATTACTGTTAAATTCCAATCCTTCTGGATTTCTACGATGACATAATTATGTCATGGTACAGAACTTGTGACACACAGCTTATAAGTTCCCATAACCTAATCAGGGTAATAGCATCATATAGTCACCAAATCATTCCACAAAATCGCAGGTAATCCTTCTACAGGAAACATAAATGACTTCTACATCAAATACTTCCATGCCCATTTCTCCACAGTAAATGTTGTAACCACTAATAATTCAGCCACAAAGTTAAAACATGTTAAGGGATAATCATGACCCATAAACAGAATCTGCTGCAAGCTTGTCATAGATGATAGATCATCAAAATTCTAACAAAATAAAGCTCACGTAAAGAAATTAAAGGGTAACTTTCACAAAACTACCACGAATTTTGGAGAATTTTGCACAAAACTACCGTAAAACTTTTTCCTTTAAAAAACTATCAACATTTTTCACTGAACTGCCATGTCTAACAGAAATCTGTGTCAATTGTCACATGCCAACTTTTGGAGGGGGAAAAATTTTTTCTCTTACCTTTTGCTTTTACTGAGAGTTCTGCTGGTTAGGGTTGATAGATATTAATAATGATCGTTCTGACCTTTATCCAACACGTACACTATTAACAAAAAATTTCTGTAGTTCATGCCATTTTTCTGTAGTTTTAAAAGTCCGTGGTACCTTTCTCTTCTAAGAAAAGTTTATGGCAGTTTTGCACGAAATATCCCGAAGTTCATTGCAGTGCGCTCTACTAATAGCACTTTTTGTGAAATTTACCCAAAATTAAAATTACAATAACCACTAGAGAAAAGGGCTTGTTTCAAAATTTTACCCGAGAGACAACAGAAAACATATCCCCTTGTGAACTACTCCGGTGAACGAGCTGTGATGGACTGGACCCAAACCCAACATACTTCCCTCCCTGCGAGGGCGGAAGCCCCTCAGGCTTCGATTCATTCTCCGCCATCTTCCTTGCAAAGAAATTATCTTTATCTGCAACCGATGACTCCAACTGAGACCTCGTATAGATATCCTCCGTCGACCTAGACCTTGCTGGAGCTCCTCCTCTCCCTCCACCTCTAAAATCGCTCACCAAGTGGTTCCTTCTTATATCAGTCCCTTTAAACTCCTCCATATCCCAACTATCCCATCCCCCATCGTTCTTTATGGACGATGGATTGTGCCCTACGGGGGGCTTTCTCGATCCGGCACGACTGCCACCCACCGCTTCTTTCACCACCGGCGGGTCTCTCCACTGGCGCCCTTCAGCAAGCGCCTGAAATTTGAAAAATGTGAGATCTTTACCGTCAAGTTCCAACTTTCTCTGAGAAATTAGGTGAAACACCGCACCTGGATCCGATCGCGGTAGACGGCAGCTGCATCAGTATTATATTTTGCAACAATGTCGGTCTCCTTCGGGATCCCGTACTGCAAAATGAACGCATTGAGCCTGTCGTTGCCCCCAGCCTCCATCTTCTTCAACTGGATCTCGGACCACGAGTCCATGGTGACGGATCGAACGAAGCTGATGTGGACGCCTAGGCCTCGGTGCTTTCCGGAGCATTCCAAGCACATGAAGACGCCGTAGGACACGGAGGCCCATTGAGGGTTTCGCTGCGCGCAGTCGACGCAGGTCTTGTTGCCGGGCTGCGATTGGAGGTCGCGGAGGCGGCG